ATAAATCGAACTATTTCTGGAATTCCTAAATATGAATAAGACCATAACCATCTTGTTCATGATGCATAAACGCGACAACAAACGTGTTTAAAGTCGATTTTATAATCGATAGCAGATGATCCATTGCATTTCAGTTCCTCTAATACGTTTATATCACAGTACGTTGTAAAAATACGATGATTCGACCGCATTCCTCGCTCTCAAATTCTAAACAACGTGAACAAATACAAGATTTGTTGACACCCGAATCGTGATACTCTTCAGCGTGTGGTGAAAAAAGCCTTCTTGAACTATAAATACTATGAACCGTGTGTACTGGTAACACATATTTTCTTCACTGTGGCGTGCCCCAAGGGTCAGTACTCGGACCACTATTATTCTCACTATACATAGCTCTACTCGGTCTTACTTACTTACAAAGCCTTACATCAGTTGGCTCCACCATACATTTCGGATCTCATACAACAAAGTAATCCTAGTAGAGCTCTTCGCTCTAGCAACAAGCAATAATTACTCAAAGTACCAACAACCAGACTTAAATCATATAGTGACCGATCATTCTCACATTCATCTCTTTCACTATGGAATCATCTACCAAATGACATTCGTATAGCAACAAATCGTAACACATTCAAATCCTGATTGAAAACTCATCTGTTTCATCAAGCATTCCTGTAAACTGTGAGCGTCATTGGGCATCGTTTGATGAATAACAGGCGCTATATAAACTATAGTATTATTATTATTATATTGTATATAGCACCATCTATTTAAAAAAAGTGGATCATAAACTCGTCGTTTAATGTGTCTTAAGATTCGTCTCGAATTAAATGCCCTGGAAGCATCATTAGCCTATAACGCGGCAGTAATGACAGAGGGTCTTAAACATTCACGCCAACCTGATCATGCAATCAGGTGAAAAAATTGAACATAATTTTCCCCAGAGTAATGGTCTCGCCATTAGGTGATCACTGGCGTGAACGCCATTAAGTGAAGTTATACGCGTCAGCAACCGCGCTATTTCCCGTTAGTATCTGTGAGTATCTACAAGTGTTCTATCATTAATATTCCGTTGATGATAATGGTGATATGTTGTGATGAATATTCAGTAAGTTAAAGGGCTGTACATCTGTATAACTGGTCCCAATTCTCCTGACGGTATAATAACACAAACTTGTAATACAATTGACGCCGTAACGGTGGACAAAATCGACGAGTTGCTATTTTAGCTGTGCTATTCTTCGACACCAACGCGAATATATGTGCGTTCACTTGCGCATTGGTGATAGGAAGCTCTAAGTTATTAAAATGATTTCTCAGCCGGAAGAATGTAATCCCACGTGACCAATCACATTGCATTGTGGTTAATCGAGCGCAGACGACATCGTTTTTTTGATAAAATGTATAAATATCATCCACCCGGCCCGTTGACGCGGATTCAAAATATGCCTACTTACGTCGGGAACAACACCATTTTCACGTGACCTTAATTTCTAGCACACTATACTAGCATTTGCATTATTTTCGATGGACACTGACAGCTATTTGTCAAGCCATGCCTCGTTAAACAAAAAACAAATAAACAACATACTTCTGAAGGAATTGTTCTCATTTCACTTATATATGTTTGACTTGATATTATTTGGTGTTTATTACATAGACGCTCAACAAAGTGTCAGGTTGTGCCAAATTCGTGTTGTCATGACAACATTTCAGGACGGGTGTAGGAAATACAAGAGTGAGGAAAACAGTGCCTGAGAATAAGGCGAATGTTGTTGGTTGATTCAGCGGGAGACAGCGAGCCGTAAATTAAGACGGATGTGTACGATACGGACCTTACTGACAGTAAATGAGCAAAACATGATAAATCATGCCGTTTAATGGCTACAATGAGCAACATCGAAAGTTCAATGAAGGGTGTAACACATGATTCCTTTAATTTGGGTTGGGTGGGGGGAGTTTAAATCATATTTTAATTCAGGTAAAACATTTATGAACCATGAGTAAATATGGCAAATGTAATATATGTAGTAGATATAGTTATGTTATTTGAACAATGCTGCTATGGTGATGATGATGATTATTACCGTCGCCAGCCATGCATATTTTTTTAATCTTAATTTTTATTTCTAAGTTATCGGATGTCTGCAAAATTATCCTTAAAGATTATAATCAATAAGATGACATTTTACATTTGTAGGATGATTGTACATTTACCCCGAAGGTTCGTTATGAATTATGAATGCTAGCTTGCAAAGACGGTCGTTATACCACGTATGGATGTATGTCTTTAGAAAATCTTTTATTCTATGATTGACGTTATATTCTTTTCGCACCCCTATATATAGGTCATTAGCTATTCCGTATTAACGTGATTGCGATTGAGGGCATGTTGCTTAGTTTGGGAAACGATGGTATACGAGAAAGCAGATCTATGTTCACATATTGTATACATGTTTACAAGTTATTTATTGGTTTCACTTAAACCTGAAATATTCGACCCACTCTGCATACTTATAATAATATTGACAATTTCCGTCGTCTGCATTGACGGCTGTATGCAGTTAAATGTTTTTTTGGTAGTAATTTTTACATGGTGCTTTTTAAGCACTGTACTTCATTTCTTACACACGTCTCAAAAGGCAGTCGCACTTGTACGATTTGCGGGTATACACATGCGCAGTGACTGGTTGTCAGGACTCCGTTATTCGCATACGAAAATAAAATAATGGCGTTGCTGGCTGATGTTGTTGTTAATACATTAATTGTATTGTTATAGAAAATAACCATGCTGCAATAGTTCTTCTCATTGAGCCGTGTTCCTAATATTCAATCCCGCGCATGAAGCGCAGTTAAGCGCAGTTAGAACGTGCTTGATTTCAATGAATATGTCTTTCGCATACAAGTAGTATGTCAGGATATAACAGTATAAACGTTTATACTGTATAGACATTTTATCAAGCAGTGTCAAATATTAATTACATGGGGATTTACTGTGAATAAAAAAAAAACTCAGCCAGCAGTACTGCAATATAGCTCACTAGTATGCCAAAAAAATAGCAATATTGATAATTCAAATGTAACAGTCTGAGATTGTTATCGATATTCGTAACAATCGCAATTGGTTACACATTAAGTCTCTGAGTTCCTGTGAACAAGGTCTAACATATTTTAATCGATCAATTATTCGTTGTCTGTATATCGTGAACATATGTTCTCCAAATATAATTTACATTTATTACGGCTGAGTACTTCTGTACGGAGAATGCTAATAATGTAATCTAGGCAAAGTTAATTCGGAATTCGTTCACCAAAAGTCGACCTTTAATGGCCGTTCCTGCGAACCCGTGCGTGATTTGGTTAGGAAAAACTGTATTTGACCCCAGTTGAACTGGATGGTTTGACTCGGTGGGTCAGTCAGCGTTCCTGTAACAGGCATCGATCAAATTTAAACCAGTAAATTGTGCCGTCTTAAAAGACATCATAGCTTAACTGATAAAAAAATCTAGAGGTTTTTCTATTATTATTGTGAACTGGAACTTCACAATGTGCATCCCAGAAACTGAGACATAAAAGCCGACAGGCTTCTTGTTTAACAGGCTGGTCGTATATTTTTGTTTAATTTTAAATATTTTTTCTATGTATGCATGTATGTATTGACTTTTATATGGTTATACTGCCAGACGCCTTTGGCATTTTCTATAATTTCTTTTCAATGAATTACGACTATAGAAAGCCATTTACACATTTGTATCGATTTGTGTGCTATGAAAAAGTATTGTAGATAATTCCTTCGGCAGTAATTCACAAAATTCCACGAGGTTGAAACTGCTTGCAGTAATTAGAATAGCTCACTAATCCTGCTAAACTAACTTGAGATTAAATAATTATATTTTTTCTCTCCAGGTTAGTAAATTTTCAAATAGAGATAATCCCTGAATAATATAATATATATGAGGTTACACAAACATTCAAGAAGACTTTAGACTAAATATGCTTTGAATACTGCGTGACTAGGGTAATAAGACAATTATTAATGTGTATTGTACAAACAAGCCGAGGTTGATGCATATCGTGTTTTTGTCTACTCTTACAATAGTTAGGATATCAACCGATGTAATATCTGACGCGATGTTGGACAAAAGGTTTTTATGACGTGTTTAAAAAATATCAAATACATGAACAAAAAATCATGATGTCAGACACGGTGTTTTAGTACAGTATTTTAACATATATACCCATACAGTATGCCTCGAGATTTCACGAGATGTGCTATAATGTGTAAATTTGAGGTAAAAGGTCATAAGTGAATATACACCCAACCCAATATGATTCATTTGTATATAAAGTCTAATGAGGAAATGGTGTTACCATCATACCATAATTGTCCTGCAGCCATGAAGTTACAACCAAACAGTACTTTGTTATAATGTTCATACATGTTATAGCCTACCGGACAATCGTAAAACAATATATAGTTAACGGATTGTGAAAAAAAATCATTAGATAAAATTGATAGGCTAAATGATGCACGTTGTGCTGGCTTTTAGTCGTTGTAATATCTCCGCCGTAGGCAGAACTATACTGAACTGTCTTTTGATTCATTACTTAAAAAGACAATTTCAATTCTCAGAATTTATCGGTTGCATTTCTTATTTTCAAAACATTCATCTTCCAGAATTTGCCAGCTAATGCTTCGATGTGATTAATGCACTGGCATATCGTGAATTTTGCTCTTCTGACTGACGTGGTGGATAGTGGTGGTTATTACACGACTTATAGTTAAAATGTCTGATATCTATTCTTTATTTGTTTCAGATAAGCAGCCCCATCGTGATTTATCATGGTGACTAGCGATGGCAACGTCTGACAAGATGAACCGCCAACGCTGATGATAGGCGACACGCATCCGACGTAACATAGTATTCTATTTCCTGTTGCTGGCATTAAACCTATGACGTGTCTTTGAAGAAATGGCTACGAACAGTCCTAGTTTCAGCATGGCTACTATGAACAGCACGGATGTGCACGACTGGCAAGACCCTTATCGGACTTCTACCAATGTCATCCTGGAGATGCTAACCCTGTGTATCATGTGGATCGGCTGTGTGTTCGGAAATACCTTGGTGTGTGTGGTGGTGTATCGAAGCCGTCGGATGCAGAGCACCACTAATTATTTCGTTGTCTCTCTAGCGTGGGCCGATCTTCTAGTTGCGTTTTTTTGCATGCCGTTCATCGCGTCCAGAGTTGTCACCGAGGAATGGATCTTCGGTGATTTTATGTGCAAGATAGTTCGATTTTTACAAATCTTGGCGCCCGGCTCCACCGTGTATGTACTCCTGGCTATCGCGTTCGATCGGTTCTACACCATAATCTACCCACTCAGCTTCAAAGTCACTCGCGGGAAAGCCAAACAGATGATCGCTGGCAGTTGGTTGTTCGCCGCAATAATCGCCAGCCCGTCATTCTACTTGTACGGCGCCGTGACATCAGACTACCCCCCTGGTACTATATTGTGTAACACGTACATTCCACGCAGCGTTGGAGCTATCATATACTCTGTGTTCATATTTCTGATTATCTTTCTCGTACCGGTTGTTATCATTCTGGTGGTTTACATAAGAATATTTAAATATATTTGGACTGTAGGGGTAGGTGGCAGGACATTCCAGAGGACAATGAACACGGTTCCGAGGACTAAAGTTAAGACAATCAAAATGCTTTCTATTGTAAATATATTCTATTTTCTATCTTGGGCGCCTTTCATCTTTGTACAGCTGTGGTTCGCCTGTTCACACTCCACGTACATCAACCCAACAGTGTACGTTGCCGTAACCTGGGTCTCATTTGCATCCAGTGTGTCTAATCCCATCATTTACTCTTGCTATAATGCAAATTTCCGACGTGGTTGCAAAGAAGTGTTCTGCATGTCCAATATGCGATGCTACCGTAGTAACACATATGCCATAACAACCGCCTCTAGGTTCGGCAAAAAGAACCATATCGGTGTAGTCGACATGAGCAATGGAAATGGACATTATCGTGCGAGTACGCCAACCAAAACATTTGATAGAGACTCGAAAGGTGACAAGAAAATGGCCTGGCCGCTGGCTGCCAGACCTGGACCAGACACATATCTATAAAAGGTAAGATTGATAACAGTTTAACGCACACATTTTAACACATATATTAGTAGTTTAGTTACAACTATTATGATTCATCTTTTATAGTAATTTAATTTTATAGCAATACATTATTTTATAGTAGCACATTAGAGTCAATATTTTAAATGTAAATACAGTAGAACGAATAATGTAAGTCATTCAGCTACAAACATGTCAATCGACACCAGTTCATATACATGCATAGTGACTTGTGTATATGTTAACCGACATTCACCAATCAACAAATATTCACAATATAATATCGCTGTTCGATACTCCATAGTGATGATTTATTATTAACTAAAAATGTTTGCAGGACTCACAACAGTATTCGTTCGAGGAAAAATCAAAACTCTAATACGCATGTGCATTGATTGTTATTGCGTGTATCTCTATTAATTGTCAAAGTGAAAATACTAAATAGTTTTGATGTATTTGAAAACTGAATTGTTAGCTGAAGCTCATGCCCCAAAGACAGGCAAAAGGATTGAGCATTTCAGATTTCGCTCAGTTTTTTTGGAATAAATGTTGTTTTATGTGAATTACTTATAAATATCTATGAACATATCAACTTGCATGTACCTATATAAAATTTGGGGGTTTGTGAATGACTAGTCTGTTTGTTCAGTGTAATAACGTGTAGGACATTACAATGCATGACGGCAGACTGGAATATAACTTTTGTAGCATTTCGTTGACGATAATCGCAATCAGCCGCCACGTCATTGGAATTCGCGTCTGTTACATTAAACGCTATTCTACTCTTTCTCAAATTACCAATTATGTTTTCATGCGAGTCACATTTCATTCGCAATCCAGTCAGCTAATCTCGGAGTTGTCAGAGATCAGACTGAATAATAAAAGAAGCTGCCTATGAAATGAACTGTCAATTGAAATAGAACAATGATGAAGATAAACGTCATTTCGCTGCTTCAAAATAACGTCATCTTAATACCACATCACACACATACACGTAAACACGCAACCGACAATTTCGTTTCCTTTCTTGGACATGATCTAATTACGTTCTTCAACCAGTTCTACTACTGACAATATATTGGATACATACGTGATTAGTATGTATATGAAATAATTATTGCGATGATAATAATTAATAAATTTAATGCGAAGGTCATCAAATTGTTTTGACACCCATGTCAGTACGTTCAGTAGATCCACCACGCAGTCATGTGGTTAAACAAACATTTATTGTAAGAATGCTTTTGTCACTTATGTAACAGTTGCAGACATTGAATATCACTGATACAATGCATTTCTCACGACCGCTGTGTCTGCAAGCGTAAGTGTAGTGGTTGGTACATTGTTGGCATTGCACCCCAAATATATGATTTTCTCTCGGGTCTACCGATCATGGCTTTGATGGTACCGACCACCACTTCACTGCCGATTAAACTGCACTATGTTGATTAACACCAATATAGTTGCCATGGGTGAGAAATCGCTTTTCCACAAACACCGTAAGTTAATAGGTACATTAGTCACGGTACTAAACAAATCTTGGAATTCACTTATCACTTTCTAAAGTATATAACACTCAAGCAGGATGAATGACATAAGTTGACATTTAAATAAAGGAGACATACATCCCGAATGTATTTGTGAAGAAGCCTTCTTTTATCATTAAGTTGACCATAAGCCCGTGACTATCTGGCGCAAAGAGGCAGTGGATAATGAAGGCTACCGTGCATATTTCAATGTGGGGCTATGGGGTGCCTGCACAAAACATCACATACAACTCAGTCGTGTTTCACGTTTTTTTTTTCTTTTCAATCAAGGCGTTGCAACGATCGAGCTTTGAATATGCAAATTTCATATTAGTTGCATGCAATGCTTGAGATCATGCCATTCTGGTACCTTTGAATACATTTATACAAGGTAGCACGTCTGATTTTCAAGTTTTTACATTGCTATACCTAACACTATGGGAACATGATATTGGTGATGTCATCCTCGTTGTTGTCACCCGCGAAGCCGCCGCAGATGCGAATCTTGAAGGTCTTTATTCATGGGGTTACAAATTCTCAAAAGCTTTGCGACCCGGTTATTCTCAAACATACTACTGATCTAGACATGAGTGACAACGTAGCTTACAAATCCTCACAAATTTAGCATTGTATCCCCATAAATGACAACGGGCTAGGTATCTGCCTTATTAGGTGACGCGAAATCTAAATACTCAATGACTAAAGCAATGGTATAACAAAATGGTAGAGGTGTTCATATGAAGTTCATATATTTGCTATTTCATTGAGTACTGGGCTTCACATATGAGGTAGTTTGACCGGGAAGATGACTTATTGTGTCTCTCAATATTCCCGCAGTAATGTCTACGTGCATACTCATGGTGTAACCTCGTAATATCATCATATGATATCGTATCCAATAGGCACCGGTAACTTGATGATGACAATTTTTCCTAAATCCCACAGGTTGTTCTAAACTGATA